GAATTGAATCAAGGAGCATTCAACCACTGATCCACATCCCCAGCCCTTTTTATTTTGAGACAGTCTTGCCAAGTTGCTTAGGGCTTTGCTAAGTTGCTGAGACTGGCTTTGAGCTTCCTGTGATCTTCCTGCTTCAGCCTCCAAGCCACTGAGATTACAGGTATGTACCAATGCATCTGGCCAGAAAGATTTTTTAGTAAGTATTTAAAGTACCTTGGAAAAGAATATGTTTTATTCTCTCATCTCCTGTGTGTGTGTGTGTGTGTGTGTGTGTGTGTGTGTGTGTGTGTGTGTTGCTGGGGGGATTGAACCCAGGGCCTCATGTATACTAGGCACTTATTCTACCACAGAGCTATATTCCCATCCCCAAAGACAGATTTTCAGTCAATGGACAGACTTTACTGAAAAGTTGCCCTCAATTTTGAAAGGACTCTACCTGTGATATTCTGCTTCTCCAACTAAATTGTGAGCTTCATGAAAGCAAGGACTCTGGTGGTTAAATCTTCTTCTTATTATTATTATTTTTAAAGTTCTTCACACTCACTTTGGTTCAAGATGTCTTAGCCTTTTCCCCTTGGCGGCAGAGGTCTCCCCTTGATTGTTATACTCCCAGAGGTGCACCCAGGTGTTGGCACAGGTAAAGAGGATTGTGGGCTATGAGCTGTTCACAGGGCATCTGTTCTAACCCCCTATTGCCCCTGCTACTTTGCAAGGGAGTGAGAACGTCTAATTGCCCAGTCTTATTGCCTTAATTTTATGAGAAAGCAAATAAGTCACACTTTGGTATTTGAGAAATGTGCCTGTGTGTGCACATGCATACAAACCAAAACCAAGAAATGATCCTCTCCCTTTGCCTAAAATTAAATTTAATTCAAGCCACCACTCACCAAGATTTATGATGTCCAGATCATAAATAAAATTATAAATAAAAAGAAATCCCTTACCCTTTAGCAATCACCCCCATATCCTACCCCTGTTCTCCAGCCCTCTGCAACCCATAGGACTCTGCCATTCTAAACATTTCCTACAGATGGCTCCTCTGAAGTGGTTCACTGGGAGCATCGCTATGGGGTATATATTTTGTATCTGGCAAGTGGAGTCCTCTCTCTCTGGGCAGTTGTGACTGGCTTCTTTCACTTTGTATGTTTTCTAAGCTCATCCGTGCGTGTTACAGCGTGTGGTTTGTTCCATTTTATGGCTGGATAACCTCCCATTGCATGGATACTCCACATTTCATTTCTCCTTCAGTTCTTAAAGCTTCCAGCCGTTGTCTCTTTGGCTTCTTTTCTCTGCTGGTTCCAGATAGGGGACTTCAAACTCAAACGCCCATCAGCTAAGCATAAGTTAGGAAGTAGAAATTATGGTGGCAAATGAGAGGGTGGAGTATGCCCCATTGAGAAGGGGCTGCCCTTACTCAGCCCCTGTCCAGTGGCCATCCAGGCTTGATGTGATCAGGTCTTCTCCTTGTCCAAGAGAGGCCCCAATCTGGATTTTATATGAAGAATTTCTATTTTTTTTTTAATTGTTGGTCAATTAAAACAAACTATAGACAAAACCCAGTGTGGTGATGACTCATTCTGAATGTGACCCTGTGTCATGCAGAGACACATTTAATCTTGGGGAACCTGTGAAGGGTGAGCTGGAGCTGGACTTCCTGGAAACTCTTGCCTTCAAAATGACTGGATTATTTGGCAATACAAAGAGGAAAGAAGAATCAAGCTCTAAAGACCAACTCTCTGGTATGGGAGGGGGTGAAATTCCTCCCATTCTTTGGCTAGAGAGTCTGCTCTGCAGAAGAAAAAAAACAAAAACAAACAAAAGCAAAGCCCAGGCTAATGCCTATGTGAAATTAGAACTAAATTGTCCTGTGCATTGCTGTGACCCACTTAGGGAGGAATTACGACCTGGTGCATGACCTCCATTATGGCTCTGACCTTGACCATGGTTGACAAGTGCTGATTTTATATAAGACATGCCCTGAATCCAAGAGGAAAGACTAATGAAAAGGAACAGGGAAAACTGGTGATCACGGGGTGGCCTTGGGCAGGTGAAACACCTTAGTGATGTAAATTGGGGAGTAGAAAATCCAAGAAGAAATAGCAACTGCTCACTGAGTAAATAAACAGTCTGCTTATGACCTTCCACTTTCTATTCTGTTTTGTATGTGACCTTGAAGGGAGTGTTTTTTAAGGAAAAAAAATGAATAGAACCCAGCACGACTGTATTGCTTGGTGTTAAGGAAGAGGTTATAAGTGCATTCTCTAATCCGAACCTGTGAGGATAAGCATGTTTACCTAACTCTTTTAAAAATCAGACGTATCATGTTATTGTTTGGATGTGAGGTGTCCCCAGAAAAACTCTGTATGTGTGAGACAATGCTAGAAGGTTTGGAGGAGAAATGATTGGGGAGGAATTAGTCCCTGAGGGGATTAACTGGTTGGTGGCTGGAGGCAGGAGGGGTATGGTTGGAGGAAATGGTTCACTGGGGGTGTGGTTATGGGGGATATATTTTGTACCTGGCAAGTGGAGTCCTCTCCCTCTCTGCTTTCTGATCATCATGTGAGCTGATTTCCTCTGCCACAATCTTCCACCATGATATCCACCTTACTTTGAGCCCCTAGGAATGGAGTCTGCTGTCTGTAGACTTGGACTTCTGAAGCCATGAGCCCCTAAAATAGAACTTTCCTCCCCTAAAATTGTTCTGGTGAGACCGTTTAGTCACAGCAGCGAAAAAACTGACTGAAACACATCATGAGACATAGAAGAGCAGAAGTGATTTGATTAAAGTCGTCCATCAAAGGGGCCAAGGATGTCAGTCTATAATGTTGGATTCTAAATCCCACATCTTTTCTGCAGAGGCAGAACTGACCTTTTAATACTTTCAAATTTTGGTGTATCTAAGGAGTAGGTATAGATTGTTTGGAACTTAATATAATGTTTGAATTTAAATTGAAATTATCCTCTGTTACTGTTTAGATGTGAGGTATCCCATCACCCGCTCCCCCCCAAAGCTCATGGGTGAGACAACACAAGAAGGTTTAGAGGCAGAATGATTGGATTATGAGCTTTAACTTAATGGGTGGGTCAGCCCCCCCAATAGGTATTAACTAAGTGGTGCCTGGGGCTGGTGGGGTGTGTCTGGAGGAGGTGGGTCATTGGGCATGCCTTTGGGTATGTATTTTGTGGTGTGGAGCAGAGCTTCCAACTTCCTGGTGACCATGACCTGAACCTCTTTCCTCCACGTCACTTCCACCATGATGTCCTGCCTTATCTTGGTCCCTGAGGAATGGAATCAGCCATCTGTGGACAGAGACCTCTGAAACCATTAGCCCCAAACGAACTTTCCCTCCTCTCATTTTCTTGGCAGGTCTTTGGTCACAGCTATGAAAAAACTGACTACAACACCCACTCTGAAAACACCTAAAGGGAAATGGTAGTTTCAGAATGTTTTTGTATTTTCCACATTGTTTGGTTGAATCCTTCAACACTAAATTAATTAATAACCAGTTAGGAGCAGGAGCACACATTAGTTACTCAGGCCTTGTACTAACAGGAGTGGGATGATGAGAACCACAGATATGGGTCTCATCACTCAATTAGTCCATCTCAATCATCTTCCATCCTTCCTTTTCTTCTCCCTGTTTCTATCCCTTCTCTTGCTTGCTGTCTTTTCCTTCTTCCTATTTTCTTATTTTCCCAGTGAAAGGAGAGATTTATGTGGAGAAAGGAGGCCTTCAGACTCAATCCTAATTGTGCTGTTTTATTTATGCATTTAGTTATTCAGTTCATTCGACACTGAATATGTGTAAGTACTGCTGCTATAACAAATTAGCACAGACTTACCAAACTTAACTGATACATACAGAGTGGGCGCACATAAATGAATGGTGCTTGTCATTGTTTTGTGGTTCCCTCTCCTGCCATAGGTTACCACTCACTGTAAAAGTTAGCCTTTGTTAGCCTCATCCACTTTTCTGGGGATAGGAAATAGGGAGATTTGTAGAATTTATCATTACAACTGGTACACTTCAGCCAGGTGTGATGGCACATGCCTGTAATCCCAGGGACTCCAGAGGCTAAGGCAGGAGGATTGCAAGTTTGAGGCCAACCTTAACTACTTAGGGACACTTTGTCTTAAAAAAAAAAAAAAAGTAGGAGTGAGGTGGGGATTGGGAAAGTGGCTTTCTTGGTAAAATGCCCCTGGATTCCATACACAATACTGGAAAAAATGACTGGACCCCTTGACAAATGGAAGGAAGCACTAGGAAGCACTATTAATAATCATGTAGAAGCAATATTTATAAAAGAGAACTGTTTAGAGAACACTGGACCATAGGGTTTTCTTGTCTACTGAGTCCATATGAATAATTACAGCCATAAAAAAAAAAAAAAAAACCACAGTGACTGTAAGGAGACATTGCATCTCCACATATTTGGAGCACTGTAACGAAGCTTTGTGTATTTCACCTTCTTTAATTCTTGCAATAACCTTATAAGGTAGGTAACATCCCTATTTTAGAAATGAAGGAAATAAAGCTCAGAAATTTAAATAACCTAGCTTAAGGTTCTGAGTTAGGATTTAAGCCCAATTTTGTGAAACCCTAAAATAAATGCTTCTTCACCAGGCACATTATTGACGCACACCTGTAATTCCAGGAACTCAGGAGGATGAAGCAGGAAGACTGTAAATTGTTTGCCAGGGCAACTTAGACCCTGTCCCAATTTAAAAGGGGGTGGGCCTAGTATTGTAGCTCAGCAGTAGAGCACTCCTGGGTTCAATCCCCAGTACTGAAAATAAATACATAAAATACATGTTTTTTTCCCATCACAATGCCAGGAAAAATGTGGCTTTTTGGAGATTGTTGAATTGGAGTTGTCAGTGCGTTTGGATGGATATTTTAAGAATGACTTACCTGTTATGGCTGCACACTATCTTTATGAAAGGTCTGTAAAAACCTTGCAGCTATAACTGATGTTCTTTCTTTTCATTGTTCCTTTAGGTCTGTCAGTTCGTTGTCTCTGTCAATGGGCTCAATGTGCTGCACGTAGACTACCGGACCGTGAGCAATCTGATTCTGACAGGCCCACGGACAATTGTCATGGAAGTCATGGAGGAGTTGGAGTGCTGAGCAGCTGTCCCTCCAGGCCTCCAGTGGCCCATGGGTGACCAGAGTGACACAATAACACAATGACAACACTTCATGCGAATGGATGGCTTTGGACATAGGAAATTTTTCTTTGTGCATACACATCTTAAAATTGAGTTTCATACACTGTTTGAATGTGGAAGAACCGGGTAACACATATTTTAAAAAACATTTGGGAACTAGAGTTTTCCTACATGATGGAATTGCCTTATTAGATTTCTAGGTGTAGTTCTCATTCATTGTATTTTTAAATCTTAGTTTGCAGAAAGCTGTTAAAATGTTTTTCTACCCAGAAGAGCAACATGCTAAAATTCCCCTTTTAGGAGTCATTAGTTGTTACAGACTTTAAATTGTACTTTTAAGCTGGGCACAGTAGTATGTACCTGTAGTCCCAGCTACATAGGAGGCTGAGGCAGGAAGATGGCTTGAGCCCAGGGGTTCCAGGGTCACAAGGCATGATCCCATCTCAAAAAAGAAAAGCAACAAACAAACAAAAACTTTCACCCAAATTAGCAGGGAATTGTTTAATCGAGGGTCTAGATTTCACCAAGCTTCAAACGAAAGTGACATCCATAGGAATATGACCTGTTAACCAGCCTTTCCAAAAAGGTTCTAAAGCATTGAAGTGATTAAAAGCCATTATAAAATGACAAGTTCCTTAATTATTTCCTTCAGTATCAACTTTTAACTTAATGTTAATTAGGACATTAGATTAAAAAAAAAAGAAAGAAAGAAACCTTGTCATGCTGTGAGCAGGTAAATAGGGAAATAATGATCTTTTACTGAGATGATGATTATTTTTACTGAGCCTAAATCATTTGGTTCTATAAATCAGCTATAACCATTTTCTAGAATTAATTCTAAATATACTGAATGTGAATAGAAGAAGTTTGTGCATAGACGACACGTGAAGCTCAAAATCAAGCCTTCTAGCAAGGGTTTTACTTTGCAGGTGTCCACTTTTAAGGTAAATATTCTAGAATTCAGCTTCTGTGTGATAAAACTTGAAACTCTGAATTGCTTTCTTAAGCCCAAATTGTTGCTGGCCTTCTAATGCAACATATTCCAAGGACATGACATGCTGCTCATCAGGGGGATTATTTTCACCGAAATTGCCATCTGGGGTAGGGATTTTTCATCTTTGTTGTACATATGCACGATTCCTTTTTTGGTCTAGGAAAGAGTACATCTTGGGTCTTGGTATGTAGAGGTAGTTCCTCAAAGTGCCAAATGAAGGAGTCTGGGAATGCTAAATTCTTTTTATCATTTCCCATAAACAGCAAGATTGCTTTCTTAATATGCTCTAACAAAGTAAGAGTGTTGTACCTCAGTCATTTCTTGGTGATAGGTTATCACCATACATTGGTACCAGCGGATGGGAAAACATGCTGAAGATTTTATACATATATATATATATATTTTTTCCCTGGTAATCCAACTTTTCTAGCTGTAGTCAGAGGACAGGATTTTGAAGTAATATTGAATGTCTAGCATTAATATTGTCAATCTGTATTTGAGAAAGATGATTGCCTCCACGTGTGTGTGTGTCTCTACTGCGTGTCGGGCTCTGTGCTGTGTGGTATTTGCTGTATATGATTTCCTTCCCTCCTCATCACAGTCTTTTGAGGTAGATATCACCACCCACATTTTTCAGATGTGGAAACTAAGTCTGAGCAAGTTTGAATTTGATCTCTAAGCTCAAACAGCTGCCAAAACTACTGCATCCTACAGCCCGAGTTCAAACACCCGGTAGTTTCCTGCTAAAGCCCGTGTTACCCCTCCCCTCCAAACTTTCCCCATTTAGGGACCTTATATTGGAAGCTCTCATATGCCAGGTGCCATGCTAAGACTTGACCTGTTTGTCTTTAATGAGCTGTGAGGCCAAGGCCAGCGTTATCCCCATTGTACACGTGAGGAAACCCACTTGTAAAGAGGTTAGTCATATGCCCAAACCACACCACTAGTCAGTAGGAAAACATACTACCTGGGTTTTTTTTCCCATTTTTTTATTAGCTATTTATATGTATAGTAGTTGGTTACCACCTGGTTTTTAACAACATTTCCTGTAGCATCTTTTAAAGATGGGTCTTAGATGCTTTATTTCTCCAGGTTTTCATTAATTGACAAGAGAAGAAAGAACACCTTTCAAAAAATGCCATCTTCTCACCTGCTGCCTGTACATTTTACTGAGATCCCAAGGCCCACCGTCTTGAACCCTGGGAAATATAATTTCCCGTCAGCTAACCTGAGCACCAGAGAAGTACCTGTACTCCACACAGCCTCCTCCTGCCAGGGAGCGGAGGCAGAGAGGGTTTCTTTGGCTCTCATCACCCTCAGTTTAAAGGCCAAATGCCAGAGGGTCTCTTAAGGCCACAAGAGCTGTACATTAGCCACTCCTCCGCCCACCCCAGTGTCCTCCGACCTGAGTCACAGTGAATGCCCCTGTGTCCCCCGTCCTCATCTCACTGTCCTCAGGGTGTGCACCTGCTGTTTCTCTTTCCTAGAATGTCCTATCTCCTTCTTTACCCAGGAATCTCTTTCTTCTTATTAACCCACCCCTTACATATTATCTCCTCTGAGAAGCCTTTGTTGCCAGTTTCCCAATTCTGGCATTCATGCCCCTTCTCCGAATTCCTATAAACCTTGAGTCAGTCCCACCCTAACCCCATTATAGTACCAATGACATTCCTTTGAAATTGCTCCGCCTCCGGACTGTCTCCCAGCCTAGATGCTGAGCATCTGCAGAATAAGGATGTCTTGGTACCCAGGAGGATATCCCTTTACCTAACATAGTTCCTGACACAGAGGAGAATTCCAGCTGTTTATTGTTGCCCAACAACCTCCCCCTAAATTTCTTTGCTCCCGACCCTACAGGTTGTCGGTTGGGGCAGAATTAAGCTGAGGTGGCCCACCACTGCCCCACGTTTGTGGTTAGTGAGCAGTTGGTGGAGGCTGCTGGATCTTGGGTGGTGCTGCAGTTTGAATCTTGAAAACCCCTGAAGACCCGTGTGTTAAAGATTTGTTCCCCAGAGTGATAATATTGGGACAATGGTGGAAACTTTTGAGAGGTGGAACCTTGTAGAAGGTCCTTAAGTCATAGGAGTATGTCCTTGAGAGGGACTGGGAGGCCCTAGTCCTTCCTCTTTTTCTTCCTAGCCATCAGTTGAGCACTTTTGTTTCACCTTCTACTCCTGCTGTGATATCCTGCCTCACCATAGACCCCAAAGCAATGGCCAATTGATGGCCTGGAACCTCCCAAAATGAGCTATAGTAAACCTTTTCTCTTTGTAAGTTAATTATCTCAGGTATTTTGTTATACTGATGGAAAGCTAACAAACACAGATGGTCTTATGCATATGTCTTATAGTGGGCTGGGACTGTGGGCCAAATTGCCTACGTTTCCACTGCATTTTACTATTCCCCAGAACTAGCCCAGGCTGAGATTAAATATACTGTAGTACCTTTCTTCTACTTGCTTAGAAGTTACATAGTTTCACTTCCACACCATTTTATGAGCCAAAAGGAGTCATAAAGTTAGTCCAGAACTACGGGGTAGGAAACAAGATGCCTCCTTTTTATGGGTCAATTTCAAAGAATTTGTAGCCATTTTTAATCCACCTAGAGTGGGACACCACCCCTCCCACCCCATTTGTTTAATAAATCCCAACAGGTAACCTAGCTACAGAAAGCTTTTCTCTATCCAGATGCAAATTACTAGTCAGCATCCTGGGTAGAGTGTAATATTGAATCAAAGCTGTTTCTAATGAAAACTTCAAGTCAGAAAATCCTAAAATGATAGGCCATGTGGGGCATGGCTCAGTCTTTTCATTTGATGACCAAGGAAACAGAATGGTCACGTGACATGCTCAGACCCACGAAGTTTGCTGGGTGAGAGCTTAGGCCAGAGGCCCTGCTCCTCCTCCTAACCAGGGCCTATGCAGTCCTGCTGTGTAGCCCAGGGTAATGTTGCCAGAATGGGCCTTTGGCTTGCGGGCATTCAGCAAAGGAAAGAGGTCTGTAAAGGCAAGGGAATAGAGTTTTAATTGATCTGTCTAGAATTGTTAAATCATATCATAAAACAATAAGTATTCTACCTGATATTTTCACAGTTTTCTGCTTTAAAATTTAAAAACCCATTTCTAAATGTAGCACAAAAAAATATCTTAAATGAATAAGAGCAGTGTTTCTAGGAGCTTTTATTTCGTGTGTGTGTGTGTGTGTGTGAGTGTGTCTGGACTGTGCCTTCCCCACATAGGGCACGGGTATTGTGTGAGGTTTTACTCACACCCAGGGGCCTCTGATATCTTTCTTTGCTCCCTTCTTTGCTCACTTTTGATTTTTCAGGTGTTTGTGTATGTGATGAGTTTATCTTTTGGTGATGGAAAGGAATATAGTTTTTGTTTCTTCATTAATTCAATGTGTGCAAATTTGAAAGCCATGTTTGTATAGAGAGAAATGCAGCTACCTTTTGGGTTGAGTCTTGAGGTAATCTTTGTTAAATAATTGTATAAATTAATAAGACGTTAAGTTGATAAATGGGGAATAACTTGGAGATGATAATCATTATGTGTGTGGATTAGTGTGATCGACTTCACACCATCTTATAAAAGGTGGCTATACCACAGGGACAGGTAATTCATATTTAAAATGTTACTGCTGAAAGTTTGTTCATATTGGAATCTCACATTTTTAAATACTGTTTCCTTTCAAATGTATTGTGAAAATAATCTGCTGTCTTAAAGAGAGACCTGTTTTAAATTGTTGAGATTAACTATTCTCTCCTGTTGAGTATTAATCCTGTTTAATTTTTTTTATTATAAATGATCAGAATAACTCTAGAACATGTTGGTTTTGCTAATTGGTTGAAATCTGTCACTGTCATTGACCATGGTTTTAATCACTTAAGGCAGATTTTCAGGTGCAATGTATCTTTCTTCATTTCAATACCAAAACACAAATGCGCTATGTACCAAAATGAAGTTCATTGTCAAAGATAGCATATGGTATTGTTAAATGAATCAATAAATGTACTTAATATATATCTTTAAAATTGGGTTGAGATTTATTTGCCCTTTATTAAAATGGTAGCATAATACTTAGAATTATTATATAAAAACAGAGGCATGTGGCATGAAATAAATGGAACATTTTTAAAACAATGACTTTAGGATTTCAGCTTTTCCTGTCATTTAAAACAAATTAGCCAATTTTTGTTCAAAGAAAGGGTTGCATTATAAGCTGATCTACTACTTATTTATCAGCGAAAACACATGGGACTCATATCTAATTCTCTAAGGTAGCCAAAAGTGCCATTTTTAAACCTACTTCTTGATGGATGTTTTCTGGAGGTCTTTTGCCTAGAAAAAAAATATGCATTAAAATGTGTTTTTTTTTCTGTACTATATTTGATTCAGAATAATTTTCTCCTATTCAGATACCCTATATGATGGGTATTGTAGGATGTTCTATATGGAAAAATACCATGTACTTGTCATTTTTAAAAACTAATGACGATGGATTAGGAAATAAGTTAAATAATTCTGTGTTGGGGGGGATGTAAAGTTTTAGGGGTTAGTGGTCATTCACACTATACTCAGAGTTAACCAAAAGGACATTTAATTTTCTATTGCTTATTCACTTATTGATTCATTCAGGAAACCTTACTGAGGACTTGGGTTTTAGACACTGCATGTAGGCACTGGGAATACAAAGTGAGCGGACGTGCAGCTCGTCCTTCAAGAGTCACCTTTGGGCTTGTCTCTTAAAATTATTCTCTCTGTAGATGGGGGAATAAGAAAGCAAGGTGTTAAAACAGCTGGGTTTTTTGTTTTGTTTTGTTTTGTTTTGTTTGGGGTACCAAGAATCGAACCCAGGGGCACTTAACCACCGAGCCCCATCTCCAGCCATTTTTATGTTTTATTTAGAGACAGAGTGACACTGAGTTTAGGGCCTCACTGAGTTGTTAAGGCTGGCTTTGAACTTGTGATCCTCCTGCCTCAACCTTCCAAGTCGATGGGATTACAGGTGTATGCCACTGCACCCAGCTAAAACATCTGTTTTAATTCTAGAGACCACCTTCCAACTCAAGAACCAGAATACTGATAATACTTTAATAATTTAATTGTATTTTTCTTCCCACTCCTGTCTCTGACTTTCCCTTAATCAAGGAAAACACAGTGATGAACATGAAGTTTACCATTCTTCTTGCTTTTTTTGGTTCTTATTAATTGTTTTTTTAAAAAAATAAATTTACTAAAAGAGCATCGAGTTTTATGTAATCTGCAATTTGCATTTTATTCTCCAGGTTTTTGTGTATAATAATCCATTCCTTTTTCACAACTCAGTAAAGTCCATGCCGCAAATTCTTTAGTTTCCTGTCGATGGGCATTTGAGCCATTCTCACTGCTACTGTCATAAGTGTGGTTGCTTTGAACATTCTCATGCCATCTCCAAACAATAGAGGAGTTTCTTTTAGATGTCCACTTAGGAAAATAATTGTTGAGTTGTAGGAAATATGAACATCCAACTTTATAGAGTAATACTAATGAGCTTCCAAACTGACTCAAAATACAAAAGTGGTGTATATTAATATCTTCTCCAACTCTTCATGTTTTGAGACTTCTTGATGATTGTCAAATGAGTGTATGTGTGGTCGATGATCCTGAGGTTTCCAAGGTGCTGCAGAGCACGTAAACTAAAGCACAGACTTACCTACGTTCGCCATCCTAATTTACTACATTATGCCTTCATCATATGCAGGATGTCTTCAACCTTTGTATCCTACAACTCCATGAATCAATTGAGGCAAGGATTATTGAGAGTTTGTATAATATATTCGGGAACCTCCAACAAATAATCTGTTACTCTACATTCAATTGAGTGCCTTAAAAGGGCCCATTCTGTCACTTTTTTTTTTACATTTTTTAATTTGTAAATATACGTGATAAATATTCATGATAGAAGAGAGTATTTTGGCATTATATATACATGGAGCATAACTTATTCTAATTAGGATCCCATTCTTGTGGTTGTCTATGATGTGGAGTTTCATTGATGGTGTATTCATATATGAACATGGGAAAGTTGTGTCCAATTCATTCTACTGCCTTTCTATTCCCATCCACTGTCCTTTCCCTTCCTTCCCCTTTGTCTAATCCAATGAACTTCTGTTCTCCTACACACACACACACACACACACATACACACACACACACATTGTGTGTTAACATCAGCAGATAAGAGAACATTTGGTCTTTGGTTCTTTGGGATTGGCTTATTTCATTTACAATAATAGTCTCCAGTTCCACCCATTTACAGCCAAATGCCATAGTTTCATTTACCAACTCCATAGCTTGGCTGCCATACACATTGACATGGCTGCGTTACTGTGGTATGCTGATTTTAAGTTCGTTAGGTATATGTCAAGGAGTGGGATAACTGGGTCAAATGATGGTTTTGTTCCAAGTTTTCTGAGGACTCTCCATACTGCTTTCCAGAGTGGTTGTACCAATTTGCAGTCCCATGAGCAATGTATGACTACACCTTTCCCCGCACATCCTTGCCAACATTTATAATTACTTGTATTCTTTATAATTGCCATTCTGACTGGAGTGAGATGGAATCTCAGTACAGTTTTAATTTGCATTTCTCTAATTGCTAGAGATGTTGAATATTTTTTTCATATATTTGTTGACCAGTCATATTTCTTCTTCTGTGATGTGCCTGTTCAGTTTCTTTGCCCATTTATTGATTGGGTTATTTGTGGGTTTTTTTTTAATATTTTTTAATTTTTTGGTGTTAAGTTTTTTATATATCCTGGGGATTAATGTTCCATCTGAGGTGCAGGTGGCAAAGATTTGCTCCCATTCTGCAGGCTCTTTCTTCATGTTTTTGATTGTTTCTTTTGCTGTGAAGAAGTTTTTTAGTTTGATACTATTCCATATATTGATTCTTGATTTTACTTCTTGCGCTTTACGCGTTTCGTTGAGGAAGTCAGTTCCTAAGCTGATGTAATAGAGTTGGGTCTATATTTTCCTCCTCATAGGCCCAGAGCTCTGGTCTAATTCCTGGGTCCTCGATCCACTTTGTGTTTTGAGCAAGTGAGAGAAAGGGATTCAGTGTAATTCTGCTACATATGGATTTCCAGTTTTCCTAGCATCATTTGTTGAAGAGGCAATTTTTACTTCAATGTGTATCTCATTCTGTCACTTTGACTATTTTTCTCAGTTACTGAGGAATAAGGAGATTCACAGGTTAATAGAAAACATAGCTCTGAATTTTGGATTGTAAATTGGGAGGAAGCCAAAATAAATTTGCTTTTGGATCCTTATCTTACTCAGATACCTAGCTATTGAAATTAAAACATATGTGGAAATGACTCACCAAACATAATCTTTAAAGTTTAAAATTTCCTATAGAACAGTTTCACAAACAACAATATCTATTTCTTACCCTATCAGATTCCCAGCAGTTTTACAGCCTGGTAGGAAAGCAATAAAAACAATCGACATGTTTGCACTATTGTAGGTCATTGTATCAGATAGCAAAGCTCTCCGGGGGTATTGGAGAGTTCATCTTGATGATGGAGGTGGTTTCCCCCACTGCCCCGTGAACACACCTGAACTGAGACATCATTCTTCACTAGAATTACATGAGCAACACACATCCTTGTGCTTCTATTTACATAAGCTTTCTGTGGTCAGAGCGGAAGCACAGGCTACTGCTTGCCGTGTACGTCTGATGAACGTACTGAGCAAAATAAAGGAAGGTTTGTCAAGAACTTGGCTCACGTGTCTCCTTTCTTTAGTTTCCAGAAATTGACAACTCTCTTTTTCCTTGGCATGTTATTCTGTCTTTGTGGCTCTCTCTTTGACTCCAGGGACTCCATATCTTACTCTAGCTGTCCTTTGCTTCCTCAGAGTTAAATATTAAACTCATTTCTGCGAGTCTGAGTTGCCTGGGTCCACAGAGGTCAGTTCATAATTGGGGCTTTATGAAGGTGGACAGTGACACCTTTCCAGGTCCAGTCTGACTCGATGGGACATCGGGTGACTAGCCCTCAGGTAGCTTGGGAAGAGAGAGAGGACGTTGGCTCTGTGACCTCAACTTGAACATGGATGTGTGAGTGTAGCCAAAACTGTGAGCCCGGAATTTTAAAAGACCCAGATGTTTCTGCTGATATGAATGGTAAAAAGCAGAATACTAGCACCTACACCTGAAAAACTCACGAGCTGTGTGACATGGGGACACCAAGGCTAGTTAAATATTAAGTAGGGAGCCCCCTAGATCTGTTATTTAGCAGCACAAAGGGAGGAAAGCAAGTCTGATGAGCTGTAAGGAACATGGGAGTCTGAGAACGTGAGACCAGCCTGTTGTGTTAAACAAAGAACCTTTGTTTTTTTTCAGATTTTTACTCCAGCCAGTTTGAGCTACATCAGTTGCGAGAACTTTCTGGTGCTTTAGGTATTGACATGGAATGGGAAGAGATTGGGTACTATCTTCATTAAAGTTCACGTTCTTTCTTAACAAGCAAAAGAAAACCCACTCATTTTCTTCCCTACATCCACCTGTTTCGCTTTCTTCCCACCAGTACTGTACACACTCCCAACTTGTTCTATAAGTACAAAGAAAAGAATAAGATAAACTTTGTTAGAATCTAAGAGATGCTTTAAATTTTCTGGTAAAAATTGTTATTTTTTTTTCCCAGACAAACAGTCTTAGAAATAACTGATAATGGGAGCTGGGTTTGTAGCTCAGTGGTAGAATACTTCCTACCACGTACCTGTGAGGCACTGGGTTTGATCCTCAGCACCACATAAAAATAAATAAATAAAATAAAGGTATTGTGTCCATCTACAACTAAAAAAAAGGTTCAAAAAATAAATAACTGATAATGATAGTTACTATTAGTGCTATTAAACTGAGGATGTTGCCTAATGGTAGAATGGTTGCTTAGCATACTCAAGGCCCTGGATTCAGTCTCCAGCACTACACACACACACACACACACACACACTCACACACACACACACACACACACACAGTGGGGGG